CCATATTCGCTGTCCATACTTGCTAGAAAAGAAGTGAACGGTCTGTGATTCAGCCTTCGTGCACGTATAAAATTTATGGTTTTAACAACTACATCCATAACTTCCTTCATGTGTAGACTTTTACTACACAGGGCTTCTTGGCGCAAAATGCACTGTATACTGGTGAAGCTAATTCCTGGTATATTGAGGCTGTTCAGTTTGGTCTTCAATAATCCAACCACACCAATGTTTTCAGAGCACATTGATGGCGCACCATCGGTAGCCAAAGATACGAGTTTGTTCCATGGCAGTGCAGCTTTCTCAATGCACTCTTCCAGTCCTTGAAATATGTCCAGTCCCGTCCCGGTACCCTTCAGTGACATTAAGTCTAGCAATTCTTCAGTTATATTCAAATTACAATCCACACCTCTAATGAACACTGCACACTGTGCGGTATCTGATACATTTTTGAATGCTTGGGCTTGACAATGCTGTTACTTAACTGTGGGGATTTTAGGGAACTAAGATGCACAAATGTAATTGAATTTTAATGGAATTTGAGCACATTTCCCTCAGTTGCCTTTAACGATCCCAGAATTAGTTCCCATTCCCCCTCATTCCTCCTCCTACAAATGGACAAAGAAGCTTTTGTAATACACCAGTGCTATCTAGTGGGCACTAAAAGTCCATTATCTGGTGAGCCTTGGTCTTGTTTATCATCGTGCCCCATACCCTGTGTGACTTTCAGAACTGGAGGGAAAAGTACTTTGTCCTCTTAAACAAGCAACAAATCCAGCTAGAACCTGCAGGGGAAGCTAAAGCAACTTGTATTAGCTGATCCCAGTCCTTGGAAAGCCCAGTGCCTTCAGAACTCTCTTGCTGTCCTGTGTGATCAGCAGCAGACTGCTGGCTCCTGGCGTTTCTGGATGAACTTCAGCGCTGGCCCGGGAGGGGCTGTTGAACCATTGACCAACTCCTTCACTGCTAACTTAAGTCTGGACTGAGCTCCTGCTTCTGTGCTCCACTCGCAGAATTCGCTTGGCCAGCACTGCCTGTTGCGAGCCCTTGCTACAGCCTGACACCTTGTGGCTCATTAGCTGCCTTCGTGCACAAGTTTGGCATTGATGGCAGAGAGCACAAGAGCACCCGGCTCAGGGTGTTTAAAGACATCATGAGTGGCTTCCCTGCTGTTCGAAGGACTTCACTCTCTGGGGGCTGGAGCATGCACCCTGGGAGCTGGGCCGCGATTTTGTTTCCCAGCTTTGCATTTCAATGGCGCCAGGTGGCCGAACCTGATGGGCACTCTGTACATGACAGGAAGCTGACATGGGGACTGATGGGCTAAGAGCCATTGGCCCTGAGCATGCACTGAACCTCACAGAAGGCAGCTGGCAGCACCTTTCCGCCTCAGGTCACAGCCCAGAACAGCAAGGGGCTGGGATGAAGGTTTTGAATCCCCACCCCCCCCTTGTGTCATCTCTCTGTTAGAACTTCCTTTGTGCGGAGCTGAGGTGTCTTCTCCTCCCACTGAGACCAGTGGGATCTCAGGGTGCTTTCCCTGCAAGGCGCTCACACAATCCCAGTCTTCCCCTGCATCCAGGTGAAAGAGCGCACCCTAGTCTCTTTTGCAGGTTCGGGTCTATTCCACTGTCTTGTCCCCGGACCATCTCCCGGTGCCATTTGGCCACCTTAGGTTTTTGTAGTTTCTCTAACCATGAAACACAGCTGTGAGCTGAGCTTCACATCCCAGCAGCCTATTGGGCCAGAGCTGTCAGCTGTCTTCTCCAGGCCTGACACCTTAGGCAGCTTTTGGAGGGGGCCGAGTACGTACTGAGAGGTGGCTCAGCACCTTGGAAGATTAGGCCTTACTGGGGAAGCAATGGGAGTTGTTAAACTTGAAGGATAATGAAAACTACAGAGAATATGCTGGACTCCAACAGCTTTATTAATGTGAACGCAACACCTTCATTAACACCTGTAGCTAGAACCACCACAATACATCAGCAAATTCACATCTCGGAAGACATCAAAGCAACTCTAGTGCATCAGACACTGCAGTGCACAGTAAAGGGAGTGCTCAGAGCAGTGGAGGGGCAGGTCACTGGACTGCCATGCGTAATCCAGAATGGTCACAAGTCTGCCTCCATTTTCACAAATATTAGCAAAAAAATAAGTTGCAAGTCAAATAGAGATCCACAGCATCACTAATAGCAAAGTGAGGTAATAAAACCAAACAACTTAAAAAAAATATTTTAAGGTTGACAGTGTCACTTTAGGCCGTCAGCTTCAGTTTTCACGCGAGGTAAGTTTTCTTTTTAGAAAACATTCATATTTATATTTTTCTTTAATCAAAGGCCTTTTGCCTTCATCTCAAGAAAATGGAAAAAACATGACATGCAAGAAATGACTGCGTGAAGGCTGTCACTGTACCAAGATCCTGCATTTCTAAGGCAGCACCCTTTGAGAGCAACGTGAAGAATTCCATTTTAACACCTCCACATCCCTTTGGAAAAATGACAGATGCATGTAGCTTCCAATTTGGCCCCTGTGTACAAGTGTAACTACACCAATAGCATGGCAAGGGAAGTTTCAGTTAAGGTAGGCAGGGTAGCGTTTCATACACATTGTCCTGGCAGTACAAGCCGGTAATAACCGGAAGAGCTTCTATAGAATGAATTCACAAGCAAGACATAACAGTGCTTGTTAAGGGCAGAACATTCAAAACTACTCAGCACTGGTTTCTTTCTTCTCTTATTGAAGTTAATGGTAACATTCCCATTGAGCACAGATAGGACAACACTGAAAATCCCACCTTAAATCTTTCACTCACTCAAAGATTACGAAGTATTAGCGTGTAGTGGGGTGGTTATTTTTTTAACCGAAAACTCAACTTCATTGCTAAGTACAGTTTGTTTGATCTATTTTACCTGTTTGCCTCCCTGTTGAGGTTTTTTTCCAGCTTGTCTAAGACACTCCCCTGCAGTGTGCATTTTTTTTTTTTTTAAAACAGTCAGGATTATCTGCAAAACGCTTCAAACACACTTAGTGTGACCTGATTAGGAAAGGAGGGACTGAGTCATCAACTCGAGCATCTACAGCGTTTTTTCCTTTCTCAGCAAACAGGAGAAGGTCATAAAACCAGAAATATTTTGTGCATTGCTGAATATCCATAGCAGAAGATTTTAATTCTATTTTTAATCAGGGTGGACTCCACACATTTTATCATAAAACTAGTGAGGATAAAATTTCCCTCCTTCCAAAGATGGCATTGTATTTGCTCCTGCAAAGTACGTCCATGTGTAAAGAAGTCATTGTGAATGCAAAATAGACCAGTTTGGGACTCAAGTACCCATTTGGCTACACAATGCATATTCCGCAGGCACGTTTCCTGTTTGTGCTCACGTGTATTTAAGGCCTGATCCAAAGCCCAATGAAGTCAAAGGGAGGCTTTCCATTGATTTTTATGGGCATTGGATCAGGCCCATATTTTGTAGGCACAACTTAGAAGCACCTCAAAGTAAAGATACTACTAATTAGGTCTGGCTGACCTGATTTGGATTAAAAAAACCTAATCAAACAAACAACATACCCCATCCTGCCCATCCCCAATCTCTAATTGAACCATACCTGCTGTTCAGATGAGTTTGGTTAAAGTTTTATTTGGCCATTATTTTAGATTTATTATACGGTCTATAATTTATAATATATGTGCTTGGTTTTGGAGTTTATTCCTCCAGTGCCAATGTGGACAAGGGCTGCTGGCTTCCCATGAAGTATGTTCGGGAGACAACAAAACATTCTGAAGAGGGCTTTATTGCTATTATAACAGATGTGTGTTGTAATTAGAATATAATACAGGGAGACAAAGGTATTGCTTCAGTTTTTTCTCTATGCATGCTGATGACTTGGCGCTTTTCAGGACTGCAATTTCTTTATGGCAGGGACCAAATCTTGCCATGTATTTGTACAGCAACTAGCACCATGGGGTCTCTGGGCACTACTGAAAAACAACAAATAAATAATATCACAGTTGCATGGTTGCCATTTGCTATTTCCTAACACCATGCTATAATTGGCATTACTATATTGTCCCTGTTTCTATAAATGTATTATTTATAGTTTCTATTAATTAAATTAATACATTTCATTTATTCAGAGTGGTCCATTCTCACACTGAGTCACATGCAGAATTCTCATGAACATTAATAGGGGTTATGGGCATGCCTCAGTGTGCCAGTGAGCCACTGTGCTCAGAAACAGAGGAGCCAAGGACTGGTTATGGGGAAAGGATCTTGAAAAGGGGCAGGTGATGCAGTGGGTTAAAGTATTATACTAACCTTTCGCCTCTGGAAAACTGGGTTACAACCTGGCATAAGGCAGCAGAGAAATCAGTTTAGTGATCTCGGCATAACGCCCAGTGAGAGGACAGATTCCGATCTAATTTATTCTGTGTTTAAACCAGTGTAAATGCCATTGTAAGTAATGGATTTGGCTTACACTGGTGTAAAATAACAGAATCTGGCCCACAGCCAATACACAAAGTATCGTTCAGGGCAATTACTCAGGGAAGGGACAAGACTGGAATATGTGAAGTTTTGCAGGTCAGGAGTGTGGTGCTATAACACCTTTGGAGGTAGAGAGGCTTGTAGAGCAGCTCTATGCCTCATTCTAGACAGTGCTATAAATCTCTTGCTCTCATATATATTAAAAAGAAGAAGGAACTAAAATTATATTTAATAAATTGTAACTTCTGCAGTCTCATTGGGCCTGCTTCCCTGGAAGTCAATGACAAAACCTCCCATTGACTTCTGTGGGAGCAACACGTCTGAATGCTCTTTGCCTGGTAGCTTTAAGTTTGACTGGAAAGATGCCATGTACTGGGGACAACCCAATGCATCATCCAGTTCTGCCATGTTAAATATCTCACACAGCATAAAACACTTGTGGGACCCAAGCTCCTGAGCAAAGCCCCATGGATTTTAATGGTAAGAACCAATCAAATAGAAGTTAACTGCCAACAAGCTGCTTTAGGGTAACACTAAGCTGCAGCTCTACTCAGCCTCTGACTACCACATTCCCTTTCTCATAAAGAGCGGCCTTAGGAATGGATTTTCGCCGGCCGTTCACAGTGCTGCTGAATCTCCTCTGCGAGGTCGAGGCACCGCAGGATGCGCCACTTCTCAGCGGCCAGCTCTTCTCTGGAGACCTGGCCCAACAGTTTTTTGGCAAAGAGGTTCTGATCTTGCATGAAGAGGCCCACAGCAGACTTTGGGGCCTCAGGGAGGTTCTCCAGGCAGCCACTTTTGAAACAGAAGTTGATTTTCTTATCACGTCTCAGCCCTGGTCCCCTTTCTTCAATCCATGTCAGAGGTCTAATGTGAGAGAGTAGAAAAACAAAGGACATTGAGGAAGAAATAAACCCACAGGGTTATTCCATTTTCCCCATCACTGGTTAACAGTAAATGCCCATCTAAAATGTTTTAAATCTTTGATACAGATGTAAGCCAGGGCCTGAATAAGCTCTCCCCTAATGTCTTTTGGTGAACTGGGAAAAGACCTCAGGAGTAGACTAAATTTGCATAGACACACCTATTTTGCCTAAGTGATCAGAAGACAGACCTGCTTTGCCAAAGGGATCACTTTTGGCTATTCTGGGTGTTACGTTACACCCCATATTCTTCATAGAAATATGGTTATAATATAAATATGGCATAACTAAGATATACTTTATGCGAGGTGGCTCATGCAAGATATCATTCAAAAGGTTGTGATCTACTGAATGTGTTTATCCAATTTGTATGCACGTATAATTTTTTTATCTGGAGCTAGGAATATTGACCATCTATGTGTATTTCAAATGTGCTACTTTGGGTGACACCTAATACTAGCCCTTCAGGTACAACAATGAAAAAGTCAGACAGGGCTGATGACCCATCAGCAAGGACAATGGCCTGTGAAAGAGCTTAGTCTTCCTGTGGACGCTTCAAACAGCCTGCGAGTAATGGCTGCTATGACCCCGGAGAGACATGTGACTGAGTCACCTGGTACTTTTCCACTATACGGGAATGGGGACCAAACAAAGGATTCCCGCCTTAGGTAAATCCTTTTTAAGGGCTGGGGAGGTGGTTGATCGGGACTCTCCTCCATTGCCTACCCAAGAAGAAGGACTGCTGAAAGAACCTGAAAGGACAAAGGAACTAACCTGAAAGGAAAAGCAGGGATGAGTCCAGACTGAGACAGGGGTCCAGTCTGTAAGAAGAAATAACTGGAACTCTCAGCTACTGAAACTCTGCAACTTACCTAAAATAACCTTTAGGTGAGGAATTACTTCTTGGAACCAGTCGCTAAGATCTTATGGTTAGTATGCATGTTTTATTTTATTTGCTCAGTAATCTGCTTTGTTCTGTTTGCTATCCCTTATAATCACTTACAATCTGCCTTTTATAGTTAATAAATTTGTTTTGTTTATTATTAAACCCAGTTTGTGCAATTTCTAATTGGGTGGGGGAGAAAGAAGTTCTGCACATCTCTCTTCACATTGAGGGAGAGGGAGAATTTTTATGAGCTTGCGCTGTGCAGATCTTTCTATACAGCGCAAGACAATATTATTTTGGGTTTATTTCCCAAAGGGGGTGTGCAAGTGAGTGCTGGGTGAATCCCCTCACACAGTGCTGACTTCAGTCTGTGTCTGCAGCTGCGTGTGGCCCTACCTGTCTCTGTGTGTGTGTGCGCGCGCGCTGTAGGAGGCCGGAGAGCTAATTCAGCAAAACAGGGAGAGAGAATCCCGGTGGTGGAGCAGGAGGGGCTGAATGAAACCCCAGTACATCACGTGGCATCCCGGATGGGGGGTCTAACCCATCACACTGGCTTAAAATTCACTTTAGTCTTAGACACAGGGGTAATGAAATGTTATTATGCTTATTGTATGAGTAAAGGGCAGCAGAACTGTATTTAATATGCCCTAATTGAGGGGTCACCCTAAATTAACATCACTTGCTAAGTAGGAGCCAAATCCAAGTGAAAGTCAGAGAGGGTGGGGACAGATGTTCCTACCTGGTGGTGTGGATTTCTTTAAAGGGTCCTAAAAGCCATTTGATCCTCCGCCTCTAGTGTATAAAGGCAGAGCTGACTAGACTCAGTTGAGAGACCTGGTTTCTTCTCAGTGATCACTACAGCTAAAAACACTGACAAACTCATTTAGGGTCTGAGCCTAAGGCCTGATAGCATGGACAGTGTTGTGGTGCAAGACAACATAGAGGGAGCATCAGCAGTGAGGTTCTCTGCTGTGCGGTGAAATCACTAAGGGCTGAAATCACTAGGGCAGGGCTAGGCGGAGGAAGCTCAGAACATGGCATCGCAGCTGAAGGCAGAAGCGGTGGAAGCAGCAACACTGGCAAATGGTGACAGAGGTGGCAGCAGCAGCATTGAGCAGCTGTAGAGACGGCAGTGTCATGCAGTGGCATCGCTGGGTTGGGTCTCAAGTTGGTTCTGTTTGGTAATGCTGAGTGGAACCCCTAGATACTGAACCCATCCTGTGTTGCTGACAACATCGCCTGGCAGAAGGGTTACACATGGTGTATTCAGGTAACAGGCTCGAAGAGCAGTAATTAATGTAACACGGAAGGACTGGGTCTTGAGGTTACAGCAAAGGATTTTGAGTATAATCCCTGGGTACTATTCCCAACTTCTGCCTTTGATTCACACTGTGACCTTGGCCAAGTCCTGTAAACTCTCCCCACCTCAGTTTTCCCATCTGTATAATGGGGCAAATAATATCTAACCACCTCACAGGAGTGTTGTGAAGCTTAGTTCATTAGTGTCAGTAGAGTGCTTTTTGATTCTTGCATGAAAGTTGCTGTACATGTGCAAAGAAGAGAAGGTGCCAAGTTCCTGCTGAAGATACCTAAATAGCATGGCTAATCTGCTCCTGTATCGTTACATTACTCACTTCTTGTTTGCAGTCTGAAAATGTGCTGTCATTCTGGAATAACTCTTTTCTTTCTGTTCCTCTCTAGTGGCTGAGGTGACAGTGAGGTCTCCGAAGAGGTCAACGAGCCAAGTCAGGCGGGCAATTCCGCTGAAAGCTGGGAAACCTGATCGCTCTTCATCCAAGGGACCACCTATAGGAATAAGAATGAAAGGACTTGAGATGTGGGAAAGGAACCCCCACCCTAATCAACTACATGGAGTCAAGCAAGGGGAAAGCTCTGAGGGTCAGTCTGGGATGGGAGCCTCGCGGTTGGGACCCCAGTAAATCTAATCTGCTGAAAAGGATCATTTGATGAGCTACACAACAGGATATGCTGCCCCTTTTCTGTTGTTCTTAAAGGTTGAAATCTATCAAACAAACCTTTCAAGTCTCTCTTGCCCTCCTCAAATCCTGATAACTCAAGGAAACTCTCCCACTATAGCATGTGTGTGCCATCTGTCCCATTTGGGCCAGGACCATCTCCGGTTTCTGCAGTCTTGGCCAACGACCCAGAAATCTGCTTGGAGCTTCTATTGGGACCAGGTGGGAACTTTGAAGCTGCCTGTTTATCCCCCTTTTCCAGCCTGAGCTGCTCTGCCCTATGCTGAGGGCTGCAAGAGCCAAACAGAGGGCAGCAAAGAGCACTGCCGGGGAAAGGCAGCAACCACCTACCCAGCCAGCTGTTACAGCTGATGAAGATGGGCGGGCAGAAGAGGGCATGGGAAAATAATTGCCACCCAGATCTCCATCTGAAGGCAGAGAGGAAGACAGACATAGATACAATGAGCGTGCAGGAAAACCCTAAGGATATATTGGGGAGCACTAGTATATGGGTTCACACAAGGGGATGGGGGAATGAAACCGTTAATCTCTCCCACTTCTTCGAAGACAAAAACAGGGGAGGAGCCTGGGGGTCCTCAGTGGACAGTGGGGTGATTTTCAGCAGCTCTCCATCCTCTCTGGAGACCAGGTGAGGATGAGGGGGCTAAAGGGACCTCCCCAAGTCACTGATACCCCAATGCAGAAAGAGAGCAGACGACAGCTGCGAAGATACTAGAGGGGAACAGGCTTGCTGTCCTCCATCAAAGATACTGGGGAGGGAGTAGCAGGCCACAGAACCTTTCTCCGACACAGGCAACTGCCAGTAGAGGGAGACGGTTGTTTGAAGGTCTCTCTGGATGGGTCCTGACTCCATGACTCAAACTACTACAGAACAAGCCCTCACATGAGTGAGTGAGTGAGTGAGTGAGTGAGTGAATGAATGAAGTTGCTGGCATCTCAGCAGGACAGGCAGCCTGAGTTTCTTTAACAACCGACCTGTGAAATGTAACGTTCCTTTCACAAGCTCCTTTCCAGCCACCTCCTTTTTCAGCTGCTTGTACTCTTCTGTCAAAAGTTCAATGTGCTCCACATGGAGGATTTTACCTGTCATTGAGAAAACGAAGATCAAATGGGATTACTAAAAGCTTTCTGCATGAATCCAAATCCACTTCTAGGCAGTAAACCTTTTAGCAATCATCAGTGTGAGCACACTTCAAACAGCCTTATCCGTGGCTGGCAGAATGGTGCCAAGACAAATCGTCAAGACATTGCACTAGGGATCCAATTTTGGTTCATTGTTCTCAGGGGGCCACACCTACAGTCCACAGTTACAGCAACTTTAGCAAACAACGGCAGCATTTTAGCGATTGACTTTAGTAGGAATTGTGCGAATGAACCGACCGTAATACGGTGTCTTGAAAGTTGAGGCACTAGCCTTCAATATGCAGCTTGGGTGAAGTCCTAAATCTTAGACTGAGAGTTCTGTGGAGCAAGCCCTGTCCTTGTGCAATGCCTCGGATAATGGAGCCCTGCACCTTGTTTGAGGTTCTTAGGCACTACCACAACAGATGTAATCTAACGTCCTTGTACAAAGCTAGTTACAACTTTGACATTAAGGATCATCACCTTTCTGCTCAGCCATCTCCCAGAGCTCACGTGCTGTGCTAGTGGACAGCGCCATGGGGTACTCGACAAGGACATGTTTCCCAGCCTCCAAGAACATCCTAGAAGATATGAGAGAGAGAGAGAGAGAGAGAGAGGTCTTTAAAAGATGCCACCTTATTCATCTCTCTTCCTCTGAACAAACTCTTTCTTACTCTAGCAGCCAACCCCATCTCTAGGGATGTGGAAATAGCATGAATGAATGTGTTGAGAGTGGGGGTAATAAAAGGCATTTTCTTAGGGTACATCTATACTGTGATTAGACACCCATGGTTGGCCCATGCCAGCTGACTTGAGCTCACAGGGCTCGGGCTAAGGGGCTGTTTAATTGCAGTGTAGACATTCAGACTCAGGCTGCAGCCCATGCTCTGGGACCCTCCTACCTTGCAGGGTCCTAGAGCCCAGGCTCCAGCCCAAGCTGGTTAAGTCACATGCCTAGCAGATTTGGATTCTATTTCTGCCTCCACCACGGACGTCTTGCATGACCTTGGGCAAGTCACTTAGTCTCTCTGTGCCCCAGGTCCGTATGAGGAGGATACTGCCCTATCTCACAAGATTGTTTTGGCGCTTAATTCATTCATGTTTGGAAAGCTCGATGAGATCCTTAAGCAGGTGCTTCAGAAATTCAGGTTACTAGGGAGAAGATGGCATGGATGAGAGTGTCAGGAACCAGTTGGTAGGGAGGGGAGGGGAGGAATTGAAGGAAATGGTATTTTCTGAATCCAATTCTTGTATTTCCTCCAAAATACATGTAAATCCAACAGTACTAATACATGCATGCAGCAGAGCACCTGTCTCATTTTACCTCAGGTGGGTAAACCTCACAGTCACATTTACTTTGAGAATATGGGGATTATTTTACATTGCTAACAAAGAGGAATGTTTCTAGACACGAATTCATTCTTTGATACAGCACGTTCCATTGCATAGCAGTGCCTAATGTAAGGAAGTAACAAGCAGAGAAGAGGAAAAGAGAGACACATACCTGACATTCTCCTCATGGCTTTTGTTGTCAGTGCTGATGATGGCCGCCTGGATCTCTTTGTTTCCCAGAGCATCTTGCAGACTAATCTGCTTGACCTCGTTAATATTACCGAGGGTTCTTCTAGTTGTTCAATAGAAAGAAATAAAAAAAACAAAATATCACAACCACAGGCCGCGCTCCCCAATTATTTTTGGAACCTCAGTCATAGACCAAGATCCCATTGTGTTAGGTGCTGTACAAACATAGATCAAAAAGATAGTTGCTGCGCCAAACAGCTTAAGTACAAGACGAGACAACGGGGATACAAACAGACAAGGGAGCAAAAGAAAACAGACAATATCGGTCAGTTTAATGGACAGTGGTCACAGCACACCAGTGGCCTAATCATTGTAGGAATCATGGCAAAGGAGAGTTTAAGGAGGGATTTGGAGGAGAGATGAGGAGGATGTTTACAGGGAGCTCCTCCCAACATGGGGGGCAGCAGAGAAAAAGCACATAGATGCTTGTTTGAAAATTTAACAGCTGGGTGGTGAAGACTGGCATCATTGCTAGAGAAGAGGCAGGAGTCAACATCTTAATAGTGTATGCGAGATGAAGGTAGGATGAGGATAGGCCATAATGGCCCTTGAAAATAAAGATGAGTCATTTGTGTTTGATGTACTAGAGAAGGTGAAGCCAATGGAGGGACATAAAGAGAAGGGTGACATGGTCAAAGTGACATGCTAGGAGAATTACCTCTGTAGCAGCATTTTGAATTATGTGTTAGACTGGCACCGTTTCCCAATAGAAGTGGTGGAAGCCAAGTATTGCTTGGGTCATTCATTAGTAGATCTAGCACTAGAAAAAACACCCTAGGAACAAGGTTGCATTGGCAAGGAGATGTAATGGATGGCCTAATAAGTCTTTTCTGTCTCAAACAGATATGATTAAATATAGCTGGAAAATACATCCACAACCCGAGATCCCCGTACGTTCCACATAACTATTTTAAACCATTATGCTTTGTTGCTATAGTGCAGAAAGCCTGATAGGAATGCTCTGAGATAGCAGCACTGTTGTGCAGATTTACTTAAGTTTCAGCCACATGGTTGCTGAGAATAAATGATACTGCCACCTAAAAGGTAACCTTATTGCACAGCCTACATTATGATTTGTTCTTCAAAATCCACATCTGGCTTCAAAGACAAATTTTACAGCAGAGTCGCCTTACCAGAGTTCTACAGATGAATTACTTATAGACACTGGCCCAACAGTGCAGCTGCTTAAAGCCTGTGCCATCCTACAGCAGAGTTCAGTCATTTGGTTACATTTCGAGTCTCTTTTAAAGGCCTGATCTTACAGGGCTCTGAGCTCCCTCAGCTTTCCCTGAGCTAAGTGAGAACTGAGGTGCACAGCACCTCATTAGAGACACTCAGCATCTCTCTGGACTGAGTCCTAGAGCTGCTTGAATGATCTCATTGAGGCACTTTGCAAAGCTTCCTGCAATCATTAATCAACCTAACCTATGGACACTACGCGCTGTCACATAAACCGCATTTACTGTGCACCCAGCAGACCTCCTTGAATTATTATATCGGAGAAATGTATCTTCTAAGATGAGCCTGGAAAGTTATACATGCAAAGGGGAGAGAGTACATGGAGGGCAAAAATAATCTCTACACCATGCTCATTAAAACACATAACTGAAATAGCTAACCTGGATACAAAGCCAAACAGTTTCAGGTGCTCAGAAGGGCTGGAAGGCATCGGATTCAGCATGTCTCTTATCCGCACAGATCCAGCAATTCCGATCCCCACCACCACAGTGCCAAACATTTTGTTAGCCTGAAACAAAACAAAAATAGATAAGTCTAGAAAAAAATGCATTCTGTTAATATGCTCCCCTTCCCCTGCATTATACTCCCACACTTCAGCATCCAGGCAGCTTGCCAAAGACACCCTGATGTGTTGCATGAGCCTGAGTGCACTCATATCTTATTGAAGTCCATGGGATTTGAGGATGATCAGCACCTCACAGGACTGGGGCCTGAAGACTCTTGTAATTGACAGCCAGTATGTCAGATCCACAGTACAAGGCTGTTCTTTCCCCAAAACGGATAGGTAAATCTTAGAGAGGACAGGGATCTTCTTGTTATATAGCACCTTTTGCACGGACTGATCCCAAAACATTTTGCAAAACTAACAACATTTGACACAAACTATATTCAGGGTTCACTCCCTGAGCCTCTGCAATGCAGCTTTCTCTGGACTGAAACAAAGAGCGTACAGCAATGTTTCACAAAACTTTAGGGCAGGAAGTGAAGAATGCCCTTTTCCAGTTGAAACTGCTGGAGAATTTTAGAGATGCAAAGGGTAATGACCTAACTTATAATTTGGCTGGAATACTGGGGTGACATCTCTACTCTTCTGAAAAGCACCATGATCTCTTTAATGACAAGTGATCATGACCTCAGTTTTCCTTCTCACTGAAAAAACAGCACTTTCAGTGGCAGTCCCCTACTGTCATAAAGGAGCATTAGCAGGAGACAGTGTGATCCAGTGGTAGGGTCCTGAACCAGGAGTAGAGAGAGCTCAGTTCTATTCTCTGCTTTGCCTTTGACTCACTGTGATGATTTAGCCTTTGAGTGGCTGAGTATTCCCCCTGGGGATAATAATGCTTATTCACCCCATGTTCTGCTTCTTCTATTTCATCGCTCTGTCTTCTCCCCTTCTCCTTTGCTTGGTGCAATACAATCTGTTGATTAGTTACTTCCTTTCAAATCTTTCCTAAAACCTCATCTTTTCCTCAATGACTCTTGTCTGATGGGATCACAGCACAATATGGCACAGCTGCAGGCTCTCACTGCAATCCATTTCTGCGACTGCATTTTCTAACTGTACTGACAATGCTAAAGGTCAACTGCTACTAAGAAATTCTATCAACTGGCACTAAAGAGTCTCACGTTGCGTATGTTGCATCTGGGTTTTCGCCTCTATTTATGTATTGCTGTCACTGCCGATATGGCTCATTTCATGTTTACTGTCTGTTCTGTATTATCCAGTGAAGTGCTCCGACATACCGTCTTGCTTTAATATAAAGCAAGAAATGATTGATGTTGCAAGAGTCTCCATTAGAAGCACAGCAATGTGCAGTTACCAGAGGGTGGCATGTGATGTACTAGCTCGACTCACCAGGGAACAAAGATGCTGTTGAGCCCCAGGCTTGATTTTATTTGGCCCACAGAGAGATGAGATCAGAAAGATCACCACCAGCGTAACCCATTTCAAATGATCGACATTCCCTCTGAACAAATTCTGGGCCTGATTCGCATTTACACTAATGCTCCTATAATGCCATTTTCCATTGTCAGAGCCGTGTCCTGTGGGCGTAAATTACACTTACACTTGAAGGGCAGGGTAAATGAGACTTAAGTCCTCTGACAGAGCAGGTGGGGTATCACTTGGTATAATTTCAGTTGATGGTATATTACCCAGAAATCCTACAATACATTCTGTGCTAGCAAGCGTAGAGTCCACAGAAATGCCCACAACTGGTGAACAGTGGGGAGCTATGCCTTACTGATACGGCACAACACAATATTTTTTTCTATTTGAGAAATCAGCTAAAGAAAAAAATATTTGCACATTAAGGCCAAATTTTGTCCTCTGATACACTACAGGAGCTTCCTGGGTGTCTCAACACAGCCACAGAGTACCCCCTACATACAGTGTGGGCAGCCAGAGCTAATCACCCATTCGATGATGGCAGAATTCTGGCAACAGACCAGCTGGTGAAGAGCATGGATATGATGTGTCCATGTAGTTTTGGGAGCTGTTTTTAAGGCAACTGATGTCGGAGGCTGCTAATATTTTTTACTGCTTTCAGGTATCTCCTATCTCAGTTATATCTGCAAGCAAGAGTACTGCTCCAATGGTTGCTACGCTGTCTTGAAAGCTCTGTAGGCGTCTCACTCCCAAGCAGTGCCTTTCCCTCTCTAGCTGCTGAACTATATTTCAGTCCAGAAGGGGATAGAGGGAGGGAGCTGAGCCTCTACTCTCATTGCCAGAAACAAAATACTATTTTTCAACAGATGCATAGGATATTGCACATGAAGCCTACAGCTACCCTTTGAAAAATCTTCCCAAATTTTGCCCCATGTAAAATTAATGACCTCCCAAAGTAGACACATTTGGTAGAGGCAGGAAAGAAGCTTTCAACCCTGTAACAAATCCTGTTACTAAGCAACCCGTTGTCATAGCAACTAGCCATTCAGAGCAGGTCCCTAGCTCTTTAGGGCTTTAGAGGTTAAAAAGAACACCTCAGTCTTCACCCAGAAACTAACAGGCAGCCAATGTAGCCTGCACTTATATGTAGATAAAGGGAATCAATATGCCAGCATTACTGCTACTTGTATTTTATTCCTCTCAGTCCATTCACACACCAGATCCTGAAACTGTTCAACAACCAAAGAAAGATCAATCTGATGTTACTGGGCCGCCATGCATCTCTGAGAGCAGAAATCAGTCCAAATCATTATTTCTGTGATTAATTTTTTTTATTGGTTTTCATAAAGAAACAGACAGTGAAAAGTACAAAAAGGCAAATGTCTCACAGCCTGTATACATTTCCAAACACTGCATGCTTCATGGGATCTCCAACAGAATTATGCAATTTGACAATGTGTCAAAGCTGCAAGATCATATAATGCTACATAAGCATAAAAGTTAGAGGGGGGGGGGAAACAGTGTTAAAATAGAAGACATACATAAATAGGGAGGAAAGAGAAAGGGCTAGGTAGAATGGAGGTCTGGCATTCTTTGAGCCATCTCAAGATTTTTTTATCCAGATGTATGTAGAAATGTGGTCCAAATTTCTTCAAAACCATATAATTGTTCTCTACGATGATAAACTCCTCTTTCTTTGGCTTCTAACTCAGACAGGTCCAAATACCACGGCGCTATTCTAGGCAAAAGCCTACTCTTCCCCTTTTGTAAAACCACTCCCTTGGCGATCATTACAGCCCTCAAGAATAGGGTTGCCAACCCTCACCCACACCCCCTCCCATACCCCAACCCCCTGCCCCAGCCCTGAGCCCCCTCTTGTACCCAAACTCCCACCCAGAGCCTGTACCCCACATCCCATCCCACACCCCAAACCCCTGCCCTGAGCCACCTCCTGCACCCAAACTCTCACCCAGAGCCCACACACCCTCCCATACCCCAACCTCCTGCCCCAGCCGAGCCCCCTCCTGCACCCAAACTCCCACCCAGAGCCCACACCCCATCCCCCACCCCAACCCCCTGCCATGAGCCCCCTTCTGAACCCAAACTCTCACCCAGAGCCCGCATCCCCTCCTGCACCCCAATCACCTGCCCCAGCCCTGAGTCCCTTCCCATACCCCTGAGCCCCCTCCAACACTTTGAACCCTCAGCCCCACCCCCAGCCCAGAGCCTGCACCCCAACCCCCTGCCCCAGCCTGGTGAGAGTAAGAGAAGGTGGGGGAGAGCAAGGGATGGAGGGAGGGAGATGGAGTGAGTGGGGGGGCGGGGCCTTGGGGAAGGGGCAGGGCAGGGGTAGGGCAGTATCTAGACCAAATTGATATGTTAGCAAGTGTGGTAAGTACTGCCACTCCACTAAGGGTGGCAAGTCATCACGCTGCTTTAGTGCTAGAGAAGGGAAACACCCTCATGACTGATTAATTGGGAAATCCATATGATGCCCCTGCTCAGCCAGTTCTTCCCAATTACAGGTTTGTTCCCAATTTGCAAGTTTGAGTTGCCTCAGATAGGTGCTTTTGCATGACAGTTAGGATGAAATGGTTACCTCATAGCCAGAATAGCCCAGATCCCTTAGCACAGCCACCACGGTAGGCACTTTTGTTTTTCTCCATCAGACAAAAAGAAGAACAGAGGGCACCCCCCGGGGGAACTGGATGCATTAACATATGTTCAATTTCCACCAACGTGAGTATAAGAGTGTTAGACATCTGTGACATGATAAAAGCCTAACAGTAGTTTGGATTTGGGAGGTAGGTCTGGGAGCCCAAACCTCCCCCCGGCCCCCCACACCTATAGGTAGCTGGATTTTTTAAAATTACAGTTGTGGCCATTGACCAAGGCCCTGCCGGAAGGCTCTACTAATGCTATAAATTTTTTAAATAAGACAGAGGGATATATATATATATATATATATATATATATATATATACACACACACACACACACACACACAGGTGGCCCACTTAGAATAGAGGACCCTAGGCAGAATATTGATTCCTATTGTGTTAACTCTTCCCCACAAACTCGGGGAGAGAGGATGCCCCCTATCTATATAATTGGCTATTTGAGAAAGTACTGGATCCATATTTATCTTCACTGGTTTATTAATATTTCTTAGTACTTTTATACCTAGGTACTTGCATCAGTTTATTTGTAGAAATTCCTCTGAGAGAAAGTCCCACTACACGACAACCAGGAAATTGCCCAATAGTTCTGATTTTCCCCCAATTTATTTTGTAACCAGATATTAATCCAAATTTTTAATTAGTGACAAGGGGGCTGCAATTGGAGTTTTTGGCTTGAATATACAAAAGGGCATCATTTACATATAACATCAATTTCTACTCCATGGAACAGAGCTGTCTGCCTTAGATATCTGGATGAGCCCCACAGTTACTGCTAGGGGAAAACCTTTATTTAAATACGAAATACTGGTTCTCTCTTATTATTTCAAACCTTCATTCTGGGCCAATGGGTGTAGTTTTCCTTTAAATGCTGAAGTGACAAAAGAGAAAGTTCCTGCCATAACAACTGCACTCAGTACCTACCTGGGTGAATAAAAATCA